GAACCCACGGGCTCAGGCAGTCCACTCACCTCAGCCTCCCAAAGGCGCGGGATTACAGGGTGAGCCACCGAGCCCAGCTATTTGTTATTATTTTTAAGTCAGGGTCTCCCTCTGTTGCCCAGGCTGGAGCACAGTGACATGATTCTGGCTCACCGCCGCCTCAAACTCCTGGGCTCAGGCAGTCTTCCACTTTAGCCTCCCAAGTAGCTCCCACAGGCATGTGCCACCACACCCAGCTAAGCTTTTTTATTTTTTGTAGAGACGAGGTCTCACTATGTTGCCTAGGCTGGTCTCGAACTCCTGGACTCAAGCAATTCTCCCGCCTTGGCCTTTCGGGATTACAGACGTGAGCCACCGCACCCAGCCATGTACATGTATCCTTGCAACAACTTCACGAGGCAGGTGTTACCTCATTTTGCAGATGTGGCAACAGGCTCAGAGTCACAGAGCTAAAAGGCCGTGGGCTTGATTGTCCTTGTGGGTGCGGCTCTTGCTCCCCCAGGCTTCTGCCTCAGGCTCAGCCCCGGGCCAGCATCCTGCTGGCTGCAGGAGGCCCCGGGCATGGGAGTAACAAAGGACACCCACCTGTTCTCGACCCGCCTGGGCAACGTGGCGAGACCTCCTCTGCAGCGCGCGCCTGTAGTTCCAGCTCCTCGGAAGGCTGAGGCGGAAGGCTCGCCGGAGCCCAGCAGGTCAAGGCTGCGGTGGCTGGGAGTGGCCACTGCACCCAGCCTGGGCGACAGAGTGAGACTCCAACTCAAAAAAAAAACCCAAAAAACCCCCAAAAAACAAAGGACACCCACCTGCCCTCGGTTTCACAGCCACCGACAGCTGGAGCAGGTGGAAGTGAAGCGCTCAGGCCTGGCCAAGGAGCTGGTGGAGGTGAGGGAGGCACTGAGCCGTGCCACGCTGCAACGGGACGTGCTTCAGGCTGAGAAGGCCGAGGTGGCCGAGGCGCTGACCAAGGTGGGTCCCTGTGCACCTCACAACTGCACCCCCTGCCCTGTTCCACGACTCCCAGCCTTCTCACTGGCACAGACTGATCCCGGGCTGATCTCTGAACCTGGCCACAGGCAGACCCCTGGACCCAGCCAGAAGTGAGCTGGCCTCTCTTTTTTCTTTTTGTTGAGTCAGAGTCTCACTGTGTCACCCAGGCTGGAGTGCAGTGGCACACTCACAGCCACCACAGCCTCAACCTGCCAGGCTCAGGTGATCCTTCCACCTCAGCCTTCCAAGTAGCTGGAAGCACAGGCACGTGCCACCATGCCTGGCTAATTTTTTGATTTACTGTAGAGACGAGGTCTCACCAAGTTGCCCAGGCTGATCTAGAACCTCTGGACTCAGGTAATCCTCTCTCCTCTGCCTCCCAAAGTGCTGGGATTACAGGTGTGAGCCACCATGCCTGGCTGGGCTATCCTCTCTAAACGACCACATCCCTGCCCTTCCAGATGCTTCTGGGGGCAGTGCCTGTAGCTCAGAGTCATCCAGATCCAGAGACTTGAGGCCATAGTCCCAGGCGTCCTTGGCGGTGCCTGTCCTACTCCCTGCAGCCTCGCCCAGGTCACTACCCTCCCTTGGCCCTCCTGGGGTGACCCTGTGACCACCGGCCTGCCCTGTGGCTTGGGCTGTCTTGACCTACTCTGGTGTATGGTGTCTTTTAATCAGCTTTGTGAGCAAGCAACAGACCTCCTGCAGAGGTCTCCAGACTTTTCCCCGTCTCCTGTTGTGTCTCCTCCTCGTGTCTCCCCTGCTCCGTCTCTGAGCGTCCCCTCTCTGTCTCTCCTTGTCTTTCCCCACTCCTACCCTCCTGCCTCTTCCACCTCACCCGTCTCTCCCTGTCTGACCGCTGGCTGCCTACCTGACCCTGCAGGCTGAGGCCGGCCGCGTGGAACTCGAGCTCTCGATGACCAAGCTGAGGACAGAGGAGGCCTCTCTGCGGGACTCCCTGTCCAAGCTGAGCGCCCTCAACGAGAGCCTGGCCCAGGACAAGCTGGATCTGAATCGCCTGGTCGCCCAGGTACGCCATGACCTGGAGGCCGCCTGCCCTGCCCACCCATCCTCCCCACTCGGGAGACCCACAGTGGCATCTGCGCCCAGCCCCATCCCCGTGGGTCCTGGTCCCTGCCTCTCTTTCTGTTTCTGTCATTCTCTCTCTGACTCAGGCTGTCTGTCTGTCTTCTCTCTCTTGGCATCAGAGCAGAGTGGCTCCATGGCCCCTCTGATCCCCTCCCCAGTGCCCATACGTCCAAGTGTTGTCCCCCACCCCCTGGGCTGGCTGTGCTGTGGGTGGCTGGAGGAGCATCCCTGGTCCTGGGGGGACCCCCTGCTCACCCGGCCCCTCACCTGGCCCCCAGCTGGAGGAGGACAAGGCAGCCCTGCTGGGCCGGCAGCGGCAGGCAGAGCAGGAGGCCGCTGCAGCCCGGGAGGGGCAGGAG